TTTTAGGTCTGGAAAGGAACTCACCCTTGTGGCCCAACTTTCAGCCAAGGGGAAACAACATAACATAGGGAAAACAACAGCACTTGTAAGGTATGCTCAATGTGAATGATGGACTGGTCAACCACTCAAAATCAAAGGGGCAACATGTACCTAAGGACAAAGGTTAGAAGACATGGGAAGATGGGTGGAATGGAGGTGGGAACAACAGGGAGGAAGAGGGATGATTGTTGTTGCATGGAAAGGATCATAATCATTGAAATGAAGCAAAGTGTATTATTTGTTGAATGTAAAACTGATGATCTTGTCTATAAACCTTCACTAAATTCACAATAAAAAGAAAAAGAAAGATTGGAGGGACAGCCCAACAAATAAGGGCTTTGGGGTCAGACATTTCTAAGTTTGAATCTGGCTTTGAAAAACCACTCCACCTCTCTGAACTTCATTTCCTTCTTTGTAAAGAAATAGAATATACACCATGCCTGACCACTAACTCTGCTCTCCAGCAAGGTTACTGCTTTATGGCTCTTGTCCTGGTAAAAAATAGAACAGCAAATAGAGATTGTTTGAAAACTGCTTCTTGAAGAGGAGGATTTACTTCCTGAGACATGCTTTTAAAGACAGTTATTTTTCTTGAGTACTCTCTCTCCTAGGAAATGATGCTTATCTGGAGATTTTTATTTTTAAAAGGTTAGTTTTCAAGAAAAGAGTTAAACAGAGTTCAAGACAAAGATAGGTATCCAGCCTCCAAGAGTAGGGCTGTCAGGAGGATACTGAAAAACTCATTTCAATTTTCCTCTTCTACTTTGCAAATGTCTGTAATGTTTACAGACCATATTCTGTATGTCCTATGCCCAGGAAGATTCAGTCCTGCATGCTGGAACTTTTCAGTTGTCCTTGGGGCTGTAGAATGGAAGCACACTGACATTGGAAGTCACCCCTCCAATCCTCTAGCCCATTTTCTGAACTACTAAAATGGGGTATTGAGAGCTACTAAGAGGGTTTCCAAGGCAACAGAAACCCCATTGAGGTAGAGCTCTATGTAAGGAAGGGAGTGATGGAAGAGGAATTGGATCCTAGTTAGGTGCTGAGGGGGTTACTCATCTCTGTATCATTAAGGGTCAGCAGAGTGCCTAGAAGAAAGTAAATGGTCGATGAACATGTTTTCAGAGCTGAGTAGAGTAGGTTATGAAAGAGTCAGGCTAGATTTAGACACTCATGGAGCAAAACAAGTACTGATTTAGGGTCAGAATGTCTAAGTTCTCTTCCCAACTCTGTCACTTTCTCTCACTGGGTACACCTTCCTGATAGTAACTTAGTCTATCTCAAGTTTTCTTATCTATAAAATGAAGAGAACACATGCCAAGGTTGTGGATGTATGAAACCATCTACCACTTGGATGGTCTTTAAATCTCAATCTGCTCAAGAACACCCAAATTTGCAGATAGTACCCATTTTGACCTAGCCTCGATGGTTTGATAATCAGAACGCGACTAGAGAAAGATATAAAAAACAATTTTTTGATAAAGAAAACAAGGATAAATTGCTACAATTTTATGAACTTGACCTATACTCATGGATGTAGTAGCTCAAAATACCAACAGAGAGGGAAGGACATCAAGTATCAATGTTATCCCCTCTATATATAGGGTAGATAAGGACGGGCAACTTAGACATTGGCTACCTAAAATGAGGGGGTGATAAAGGCACAAAGTAACTGACTTACAAGTTTTCAAGAGCAAGTTTAGTTTAAGAATGTGGGGGTGGGTAGGAAGATAGAGTCCCCACTGAATAGTTTTCATCTTGTCTAGATGGGTCTCATGAAAAGAGATGGGGATAAGATTCTTATGAGTCAATAGTGAGTAATTGTTATCATCACTAATTGAGACTGTCATAATTGTAAAGGTAGAAATTTTGTAACAAAAATGGGGGAGTAGTTAATCTTATGGTACAGAAACAGAAAACCTAGGACCATCAAGGAAGAAGAGCATGAGCGGAATGCGGACCTTATCCAGAGAAGCAGTGACACCACAGATGGGGGCAGAGATGGGGACATGGATAGAGGGAACAGCTGAGGACTCTAGATTCATGGAGAGAAAGGGACTGAGAGCTGGCAGCCAGGAGGCAGACTTGCAGAATGTGCCCTTTGGTGATGTAAATTATATATTCCTGAGTGTTTAAAAAAAAAAATTTTTAAATGAACAGAGAGAAATACTATTAACTGATGGTACATGGAGGGGATTATAATCACTGCAATGAAATAAAGTATATAATTTGTTGATGGAAAACTGATGATCTGCCATGTAAACTTTCACTCAATTTACAATAAAAACTTCAAAAAAAAAAAATCTCAATCTGCTGTGACATTGTTAAAGGATCTTGGATAAGCCACTTTCATTTTCTGAGCTTCACTTTCTCCACCTATAAACCATGGGAAGGGAACTCACTTTTATTGTTGTTGTTGTTATGTGCCATGGAGTCGGTTCTGACTCATAGTGACCCTGTACAGGGTTTCCAAGGCTGAAAATCTTTATGGGAGCAGAAAGCTTTATCTTTCTCTTGTGGAACAGCTGGTTTTTGAACTGCTGACCTTAAGGTTTGCAGCCCGATTCGTACCCACTATGCTACCAGAGCACTTTTATTGAGTGCCTGCTATATGTATCAGTCACTTTCACATGTATAATTTCACTTAATCCTCATAATTTCATGAGACAGGTATTTCTATATCCATTTTAACAATGAAAAAAAGAGGCTCTGAGATTAACTAATTTGCCCATATCCACAAAGACTGACAGAGCTGAGATTTGGACCAGGTTCTGACTAGCTCGAAAGCTCCACAGTATGTCTGTACCTCAAACTGAGGTCAGAATCATCACATTTCAGCACCCAGTGCATCTTCCAACAAACACACAGCACATCTTCCAACAAATATCCAGGAAGCAGCGACACTAGAGATGGAGGCAGAGATGGGGACATGGAGAGAGGGAGCAGCTGAGGACTCTAGATTGATGGAAAGAGAGGGACTGAGAGGACTCTAGATTCATGGAATCTGAGGAGCAGCTGAGAACTCTAGATTCATGGAAAGAGAGGGATTGCTCTACTTTAGGTACATGTAGTATTTCTCTTAAGTAGACTGTGAGCGTCTCATCCAGGGTAGAGAATAATTTATTTGTGTCTCCAGTGCCTGGCACAAAGCAAAGGCTACAATGAATGGGTGAATATATGAATGAACATAGAATAAGTTAATATAATTCTCTGGGTTACAGGTAGCTGCCAAGTACGCATCTGAAAAACATCTGAAAAGCCTTTAGAATTATAAATCGAACAGCCTAGCAAAAGCAATAATATCTGTAATTATCGCTGGCATATGCCAAGTTGATTTTATCTCTATTATCTTACTCAGTCCTTGTCAGTGCCCTGTTTGGGAATCAGAGCAATGTTTGAGCATCATTCTCATTTGATAGATGAACAGAGAGAGGCTCTGATAGGGTATGGGGTCTCTCTCTGGTCACACTCCTCCAGGGACACGTAGTTCACTACCTACTGAGATGGTCCACTCCGGTTTTACTGGTTTTTGTTTACCAGAGTGGGCTCAGAGTCGAGCTCTGTTTTTTGGGTGAAACCTTTGGAGACCCAATGGTATTGAGACCTGTTGCCCTCTCAATTCCAAACTTAGGTTCTAAAGATGTTAAGGATAATCTAGCAATTGCTTCCTGGAACAAATGGGTAAACTGAGGTTCTATGGGTGGAGAATCACCCAAAGTAGACTTCAGTTGGTATAGCCTGAGATGACATCTACTATGGCATCATGCTATCAACTTAGTGTGAACTTGGAGTCAACTCTGACCACCTGTTTCTTATTTTAGAACATGGATAAAATACAACCCCAGCATTCACCACAGTCTTGGAAACCTTACACATGAGTCAGAACCAACTCGATGGTACAACACCACAGGGTCAGTGCTCAGTAAGAGACAGCTGGAAGACTAACTATGAGAGGAAAGGATAGAGTTGAGGCTAGGGCCGTGGCTAGCATTGGGTTGGGGTGTAGCATTAGGTGAAAGTTAAAGCTTGGGGTTGAGGTTTGGCTATAGTATGTTGTTGTGGTTAAGTGGTGGAGTAGGTTCCAACTCACAGCAACCCTGTGTATGGTTTCCGAGGAGCGGCCAGTGAGCCTGAACCACCTATCTTGAGGTTCAAACCAACCTTGGAGTTCAGCGCATTAATCCACATTAATCCAGTGCCACACCTGGACTCCTCGGCTATAGATAGTATAGTATGGTGGTGGTAACATGCCATGGAGTCGGTTCTGACTCACAGTGACCCTGTACAGGTTTTCTGAGGCTGTAAATCTTTGTGGGAGCAGAAAGCATCATCTCTCTCCCACAGAACAGCTGGTAATTAGGTCTGGATAATGCTGGAATCAGGATGGGGAAATGGAGCTGAGGTGAGGTTGTAGAAATTAGGGTTGGTGATAGAATGAGGGCTGGGGTCAATATTGGGGGTATTAGGTAAGGGTAAAGATGAGGTTCGTTTTGACAGTAGAACAGGAACCTTGTGGGCAATTGGATGACGATTGGAATGGGGTTTGGGTTTCCTGTGAAGTTAGGGAGACAGTCATTTTTTGTGAGGTAGGTGTGTGATTTAGGCTTGAGGTAAGTGTGGTGGTAGGTAGAGTGAATGGAATAATGGTTGTTTCAGTGTCAATTGGGGTGAGGTTTAAGCATAGAACGGAGTAATGGCTGGGGTCAGGATGGAGGAATGGAGTGAGATGGGGTTGCAGTAACACTTAGAGAGGATGGCTGGGGTTGGTGATAGGGTGAGAGCTGGAGTCAGTATTGGGTGTGAGGGGGTAAAGTGGGTGGAGGTGATACTGCTGTTGGAATGGTCACTTGGATGAAGATTGAGTTGTGGTTTGGTTTTACCAGTGGGCTGGACTGAGGATAGGGTGAAGGGACTTAGATTTGGAGTAGGGTTCAAGGCGGGGTGGTGGGGGCTGGTACCTGAGCCACCACATGTAGCTGTGCTCGTAGGGGAAGAAGCTGTGCGGGTCGTCGCAGCAGTACTTGTGATCTCGAAAGCCGCAGCAGAAGACGGCTGCCACCTCGCCCCCCGGCCGCGGGCAGCTGAAGCCGCGAACCACCTCCTGCTCTGCGCTCACGTAGCTCGTGCAGGCGCCGCTCATCGCACCGCGCGCCGGCCGGCCACCGCCGCCACCTCGGGTCACTGGACGGCCGACGGGAGCAGGGCACCGGCGGCTGGGCATGGACCGAGGACCGGGAGAAAAAGGGACGGACCCAAAGAGAACTGAGGCTAAGACAGAGAGACTTACATAGAGGTGCAGAGACAGAAACAGGTAAGCAGGAAGACGGAGAAACAGAGACAGAGAACGATGAGAAGCAGAGAGATGCACAGAGAAACCCCCGCGAGGGGCGCGGAGACTCAGTAGTTGAGAGTCCTAGAGGCCGAGAGGGCGCAGAGAGGCGCCCAGGTAGCGGCCCGGCGCGGCCCGAAGGAAGGTGGAGAAGGAAGAAGACAGGCTGGAGACCAGCTGAGAAGCGGCGGGAGTGCGGAGCGGCGAGGAACAGTGCGGAGACGCGAGCGCGGTGGCTGGCCGGGGCGCTATCTCTGCTTTTCTAGTTGACGCTTCGGTCCCCAGGGCTCAATGACACACAAATTCAGGATGGCAGAGCGGGGATTCTGCACTGAGTACTCACTCAATGCTAGGCACTGTGTGGGGCGCTGGGCATCTCGGGGGACATCCAAGCTACTGCAGGAGACAGACATGCGACAGACAAACGACCAGTCTATCATGTGGCTGAAAATTGAATCTCAGGGGTGAGGTCAGTTTTAGTCTAAAGGTTATCTAAGGGCCATAATCTGGAAGTTCCACCAGTATGCCTGGTCTTTTCTGTTGTTTTGATTTTTATTCCACAGTTTTCTCCCACTCTATCCAGGACTTGCTATTGTGATCACCTTCAGAGCCATTAGCAGTGGTAGCCAGGCACCATCTAGTTCTGGTCTCAGGGTCATGGAGGCTGGGGTTTGAACTAATTTTTCCTATATGTCTTCCATTTTCTTTACTCTTTTTTGCTCCAACAGGGAGAGACCAATAGCTGAACCTGGCTGACCAATGGCTGCCCACAAACTTTTAAGGCCCCTATCACTACTGACCAAAGATGTAGAACATTGTCTTTGTGGACTGTGTTTTGTGGATTGGCCTGGTATTTCCAAGACTGTAATCCTGATCTTCCAGGCCCCCAGTGGTGGTGGTGATGTGCCATGGAGTCGCTCATAGCAACCCTGTGTAGGGTTTCCAAGACTGTAAATCTACAGAAGTAGAAAGCCTCATCTTTCTCCCTTGGATTGGCTGGTAATTTTGAATGGCTGACCTTGAGGTTAGCAGCCTGACTCATAACCACTACACTACCAGAGGTCCTTCCAGGTCCCCCTCTCCAGCCCCCCACCCCAGTGGACTTTTAAATGCCCTCATCTTTTGGCTTCCTTACCCTAGTCTTCCCTTCCCGGAGCAGCTACCTCCTACACTGTCCTGTTCACACTCCCACTGCAGGCCAGGGACAAGGGGGCCACATGGGTATGTTGGGGGAGTGGGACAAAGGGAGGGGTGGATTTTCCCATATGGTAATGCCACAATGTCAAGAAAACAAAAATCCTCACCACTGGACCAATAAACAACATTCTTATCAACGGAGAAAACATTGAAGTTGTCAAAGACTTCATTCTTCTTGGATCAACTATCAACACTCACGGAAGCAGCAGTCAAGAAATCAAATGACGTATTGCATTAGGCAAATCTGCTGCACAAGACCTTTTTAAAGTGTTGAAGAGCAAAGATGTCAGCTTGAGGACTACGGTGCACCTGACCCAAGCCATGGTATTTTCAATAACCTCATATGCATGCGAAAGCTGGACAGTGAATAAGGAAGACCGTAGAAGAACTGATGCCTTGAGTTATGGTGTTGGAGGAGAATACTAAAAGTGCCATGGACTGCCAAAAGAACCAACAGATCTGTTTTGGAAGACGTGCAGCCAGAGTGCTCCTTGGAGGCCAAGATGGCCACACTTCATCTCTCATACTTCGCACAAATTGTCAGGAGGGACCAGTCACTGGAGAAGGATATCATGTTTGGTAAGGTGGAGGATCAGAGAAAAAGACGAAGACTCCCAAAGAGATGGATTGGCCAAGTGGCAGCATCAATGGATTCAAGTGTGGCAACGATAGTGAGGTTGGCCCAGGATCGGGCAGTGTTTTGTTCTGCTGTGCATAAGGTCGCTATGAGTCAGTACCTACTCGATGGCACCTAACAACAACAACATCACCACTCAGGTAAAGCCAGAAAACTTCTCCATTCTCAGATATTCTTTCCAGCTCACAAGTGCAGTGTTCTCATTAGGATCAGAGAACCACTCTGAAGGAGCTGTATGAAGCCCTCAGAGATCACCAGTCTGCCCTCCCAGGGTACCGTGGGGGAAACTGAGGTGCTGAGAGGGACATGACTTGGTTCAGTCACACTGAACCAAAGCTCTAGTTTGTCTATATTCATTTAGTTTGTCAATATTCATCCAGTCAGTCACAGAGTGTTGGGGAGGAAAAAGACCCGTGGGTCATGTAATTAGTTATAGACTCACAACCAGCATTTAAACAAAAACTAAATAGATTAGAAAAACATACTACAGATTAAAAAAAAGTAACTTTTTTTTGAGGAATCACAAGAATATTGATTCTATTTTCTTTCAGCTTAGTCTAAAACTTGAAGAAAAATGGATATCCATCCAAACCATAACCATCCTATTTGTCCATGTGTATAACTGCGGCAGTCCAGCTTTCGCAGGGTCGTGAGAAACGAGAGAAGATACGGAGTCGGCGAAAGTGAAAGCAATGGAGGAGTCTCCGCTTAGTTGGCTGATAGAGCTCTCTCTTTGCCCAGCTCACCAAGTCTTTATTTATACTTAAAAATCATGCAATGCATAATGATTTGATACTTTGATTTTTCCCTTGAATTATTACACATTTGTAATCGTAACATTCTTTCACCCTGTGATTATACAACCTTAATGAAAGTATTTCTATGATGTCCAACCTGACCTTTCCAATATCCTGTTTCATTTTCTAATCATTAAGCATTTTTCTTTTGACATCATCTCCTCTCCTATGTAAGTGATAAATTGTTTCTTCTTATTCCCACTAAAAGATCAAGTTAAACCTTACACAAATCATTGCCACTTATCAGATCCCTGATTACATCCTCTTAGTAATATAAGTTTCTACTAATCATCAATGCCTACACTACTTTATTGTTTTTCCTAACAAATTATCAATCTTCTATCCTACATAATGTACTACTATTTTTTTTATAGTAAAAGCATTACTAACATCTACTTAATTATTCTGTTTTTCTAAAGTATTCATTAAATTGCTTAACCACAGCATTCCTATGTTTCTTTCTTTTGATGCTGTGAGGCATATAAGGCCTAACCTTACTAATTGCTGCAGGAAATGTAGATTATTACGTTTTGACCACCTTTCACTTATGTTCACTATTCTCTGCGTATTTACGTAAGTGCCTGTATGTAATAGTGGGAGTTTATGAATTCTGGCTGGTAATTGATTGAGGTGAGGTCTATAGGGGTCAGTCAGCTTTAGTTTGTTATCTGCTTTTGTGATCTCATAAATGCAGTTGCTTTGTACTCAGGTTTTCTGTAAAAGGGAGTAGCTCATACAATTCCCTTTGAATTCAACCCAATGAAGCTGAAACAATTGTTGCCAGACTGGTTTCTTCCTAAGGTCTGCAGCGCTCACAGTAAAGGCCATGAATATGACAATATCATATATTTTTACAAGTGAATTCATAGTTATCCTAAAGGGGAGATAGAGGATACCTTTCCAGAGAATCATTTACTTTGCGTGATGTTTCTCCATTCGCCGGGACTGTGTCAAGCGGCAAAAGTGGAATCGCTTCCCGCATATAACCTGCTTTCCTCTCACTCTGATTAGGACTTAAGCTCATTGTCTAATTTTTTTTTGTAATGTTTTATTGTGAATTATGTGATAGTTTACATGGGAGAACATTAGTTTTACATTCATCCTATCATATATTGTTTCATTGTCATGGTTACAGTCCCCTCCACGCATCATCAACCAATCAAAGAGTATACCCAGCAAGCCTGCCCCCTGGTCATCAACACACAGCCCCTCTCCCTCTCTGGGTCTAGAGTTCCTAGCTGCTCCATCTCTCCATGTCATCGTCTCTGCCTCCATCTTTGGCGCCTCTGCTTCTCTGGGTAGGGTCCCGCTCTCCACTCTTCTCCCTTGATGGTCCCAGGGACCTCGGCTCCTAGACCAAAAAGTTAATTACTCCCCTCCTTGCTACAAAACATCTACCTTTACATTTCCAACCCTCACAATCAGTCCTAATAAAAATTATTCACTATTGTATCAC